CGCATCGGGGGCAGGGGGACGCCCTTTGTGTCTGGGGCGCGGGTGATAACCCATCCGCGTCCACATCGGGCGCGGCGTCCGGATCGGACGCAAAGGGCAACCCGTGCGTCCGGGCCGCCGATGGTAGCCCATCTGCGGCAGAATCGATGGCAGGGGGGAATCCTTGTTTCCGGGCCAGCGGTCGCAACCCATCGGCCGAATCAGGGGCAGGGGGGAGTTTTGCGCCCAGACCGGGGGTGGTAACCCACTCTCAGCCGAATCGGGGGCAGGGGGGAAGCCTGGCGTCTGGGCCGTACATGGTAACCCATCCACGGCCGAATTCGTTTATTTGTTTTGTTAAATTGTATGTTCAGCAACGCTTCCAAACCCCCCTTTTCCATCCTTGTGAGTAGAGGGCCGCCTACGCAAAGTTGTTTGGAAGGTTCGGATCGAAGTATCGGTTGTTGTTGGCATTTGTTTTCGAAACTATGCGCGGGCACGGGCGTGTAGGAATTCCTAACGCGTTTGTGTTTGTGTGTCGAGGTGATTTGCTTCTTACATTTTAAGTGTGTTTCCTGTTTTCTCTGGGCACCCCGCACAGGCACGGGAGCACTCCCCCGTCATCATCGCATCCACAAGCCACCACCGTAAATGATCATCATAATCGCATATTTTTTTCAAACACACACACACACACACGCACGCACGCACGCACGCACGCACGCACACACACACACACACACACACTCATGTGTCAGTGGCACGCACATCGGCTTCACGATCATCATCACCAGCGTCATCATCATCATCATCATCATCATCATCGTCGTCGTCGTCGTCGTCGTCGTCGTCACCATCACCACCCCCACCCTCATCATGACCACCTTCATCACGACCATTATTTCACCATGATGATCAGTCCCTCGTCAACACCATCATCACTCCATGCGGGAGCCTCGCCTCTGAGTAAACTGTCGGGGGGTCTCAGACGGCTGCCCCCCTTCCAATATGGGGCCCGCAGCTCACGTTACCAATCCGAGCGGGTCATCGGAACCTTGTAACCGTGGTCACGGGTGGCCTCTTCAAGCGTGAGTATGGAAGAAGTCTCACGCGGGAGCCTCGTCTGTGAGTGAGCCGCAAGCCTCCGCATGGGGCCCGAAGATCACGTTACCAATACGAGCGGGTCATCGGAACCTTTTACGTGACTTTCGTCAGTCTTGGCTTCTTCACGCTCGAATATGGAGGAAGTTCCAAGCGATGGCCTCGCTTGTGAGTAAATGGCGAGGGCCAGGAGTCATCTTATTAATCCCAGCGGGTTATCGGAACCTTGTTACCGTCATCATTTTGGGTTGAGTATAGAGGATGTCTCACGCGGGAGCCTCGTCCGTGGGTGAGTTGTCAGGAAGTGCCCAAGCTGAGCAATTTCCTTGTGGGGCCCGCAGTTCGTGTTTATCTTCCGACCAGGCCATCGGGACCTTGTAGTTGTCGTCGCTTAGGATGTATCCGGCGGGAGCTTCGTCTGTGAACCGGACCCAACATTTGGTATCGACGGGGTTGAGGAAATGGCGAAGAGCTAAATTTCGTGCGCCACAAGCACCTAACCTTGGCGTTTTCGTGCATGTCGGAAGCGGCCCGCGACGGCGCGGGCGTGCCCGAGCCGTCGGGGGACGCGACCGTTCCTGCGCCCGCGGCCGGGCACAGACCTTTGGCAAAGGCGGCGCGCGAGGCGAGGCACTCCTTCGTGACCCTGCACGCCGACCGCCTCCTGGGCAATCGCGTCAAGGATGACGCGGGCGTCGACGACCGCGCCGGCGGCCTTGGCGGCGCCCCCGCTGCGGCCAGTTTCGACGGCAGAGCGCATTCGACGCCCAGAGTGTACATCGCCGCCCTGGTCGCTGGCTTGCTGGAGGACAAGAGACCCACGTGGGGCCAGACGATTGTCGTCGCCAAGGCCGCCGCGGCCTGCGACGAAGCTTGGGGACATAACATGCGAGAGAGAAGTCACGCACTTGCTCCTGATGAGCCAGGGCGGCTCAGGGAAGGCGCGCATGGTGAAGAAGAACCCCCCCCAGTGGTGGAACTGTTGTGGCCCTCGCTGGCGCTGGACAAGGCCTCCATGATAGTCGTGGCATCCTCGAAAGCGCAGGCAAGGAACATCTCCGCGGAGACGGTGAGGGCCAGAACGCTGCTCACCGCCTATGCTTTGCGAGGCCCTAGATGCATCAACGCGAAGATGCGGCCAGGGGGCGTGCAGAGGAGGTCGAAGTGGCTGCAGGAGCACATTCGCGACTATGCCATTGAGGAGGTGAGCGCGAGCACGGTGGCGGCCGCGCTGTACAGCGCGCTGGACCTTCGCGCCTGCTGCGGACGACGTGATGCGCGCGTCGTGCAGGAGTCCGCGTGCAGTCGGCCGCACCACGACTTTGGGCGCGCCCCCGTTGTTTTGCACCCCGGCGACTTCCTGCAGCTGAAGCCCACTGGCAGCATCGGCCTGGTCACTGACGTGAACGAGTTCCTGGACAACGGGCTGCGCAACTACGCGGAGACGCCGACGACGGAGATGCAGCGCGCAATCAAGGTCACATCCCCTGCGTCTTAGAGTTGAAGGGCACGAAGCGCTTCGAGCCCGGTGGCCCTCCGTTCGCGCTTCTGGGCTGCGCGCGCGAGCGCAAGTTCTTTCCGCCAAGGGTCTGTCCGCCAGGGAGAAGGCGTTGGCCCCGGACAACCGCGGCGTCTTGGACCCCCAGCGCCCGCGCGAGATCTTTCGCCTCGGCTAGGGCGCGCGCATCTACTGGGAGACGCTGCCGCGGTAAATCAACGCGCGCGCTCGGCGCGACGCGCGGCGCCCAGGCGCGCCCCTGGGTTTCCTGCGGGCCGCGGACGAGAGCAGCGCGATCCACGGCGATCCCGACGCGAGCCAGCGTCTCTTGAACGTTCCGAATGAGCACATGACGGGAGACACCTAAGACCTCGCGCGGGCACGCGTCGGCATGGAGGTTCGTGCCGCGGCCGCGCAGGCTGAGCTGGAGAAGATGTTGGGGCATGCGCAGGAGCACCGGGCCACCGCCGCGCCCTTCGTGTTTCGCCCAGACTACGAGCGGCAACCGCGAAGAATCTGGACGCAGGTGCGCGGCGTCAAGGAGCCCCCGATCTACCAGGAGGCCCCCGAGCTCCAGCAACAGCGCGCCGAGGGCGCGGGCGACAACGGCGACGCCGAGGCGCAGGCGAGGAATTCGCTCATGTTTGCAGGCCGAATGAGCAGGAGCTCGCGCGGCAGAGCTCGGGGCCGCACGCTCGGGGTTCATGCTGGCGCGCGCGCCCTCCCGGACCTCAGCGCCGTCGCAGGGTCAGACGCTGCGCAAGGGCGCCGCCAACGATTGCGCTAGGGATGAAGACGCTGACCGCGCGGGCATTGCGGATGAGCAGCGGCGGCCGCACCTCGACGTCATGTTCCCTTGCGCCGCGCGCGCGGCACATGCTGCCCCCGCGGCCGCCCGCGCGAGAGTTCCCAGGGCGCGGCTCGGTGGCGCCCTTGCGGAAGACACTCGGGGAGTTCGACAGAGGAGATGATATTTGCAAGGCTGAGGCGGAGCAGCTCGCGGCAGAGCATGGCTTCACGCTGCCTCCCGCCTGAGCGCGGCCGCGATTTGTTCGAGGCCCGCGGGGTTGCCTCAACGTCTTGCCCCTGCGCCCCAGGGGCGTGCGGGCTTGCGGGATTGCCCCAAGAGCCCGGCCCGCGAGTTTGCCCCAATGGTTTCGCAATCCGACCATTGGAGAACGCGCCCCTGCGGCGCCAGGAAACATCGACTCGCGCGCCTTTGCTAATAGGGCGGGAGGGGACGCGGTTGGGGGTGGAGGCAGAAGGTCGCGGATAAGGCAGAGCAGGGGTTGGTAAGAGGGCCTCCGCCACGGCGAAAATCAGGATACTGGAGAAAACCCAAATCATCATTTTTTCAGGGGTATAGGGTTATGGGTTATAGGGCTATAAAACTATGGGGCTATAGGGCTACAGGGCTTTAGCGATATAGGGCTACATGGTTATAGGGCTATACTGTTGTAGGGCTATAAGGCTATAGGGCTATAGGGGCTACAAGGTTATAGGGCTAAAAGGCTATAGGGCTATTGTATTGGGTTATAGGACTTAACGCTATTAGTGCTATCCGGCTATCGTGCTATAGGCTTATGAGGTGATATAAGGCCATAGGGCTGAACTACCGGGCTCCTGGGCACCCGGGCACCTGGGCACCCTGTTATTTGGGCACCTGCGCACCTAGGTACCCGTGCACCCCCGGGCACCCGGGCACCCGGGCCGGCCACCGAAATCGGCGGCACACCTCACCTAACCATATGAATCCGCTAGGACCCTACAGAGGCAATCTCTGATTTGGGAATAAGGGCGATGTGGAGACTGGAGGAGAGCCCCAGCACTCGCACGGACGACGATGAGGTTTATTCCCGCATTTTGTTTGGGAAATTCCCATGCGGGGTCTTACCGTCGGAGTAATTTACGGCCCCGGGGCCCAGTGATGGCGCCGAGAGTCCGAACTTTATGACAAGCCTTCGTCTTTACTTTTTGGAAGGCGCTGGGTTCGAGGCCTCCCAGGTGGGTTCGGAGTAGATGTGGTCGGAGGAGCGCGCCGCCTCGCCGATGCATCGACGATGCGGTTCGATGCGAAACCACGAGTTACCCGCGCCGATGGCGCCGACGTCGCCAATGCATCCCTGGCGCGTTGCCGATGCATCGACGATGCAGCGGTGATGCGGCGCGATCCTCCGACCCTATCCATTCGGACCCCATGCAGACGGCTTCTATGCGTTGCCAAACTCCCGACGTCATGATTTTTCATAACGTCGACCCCCGGAGGTTTCGACCCATTCCCCAGGACCGATGTCTCATCTTGCGTCGTTTTTCGACGGCCCCAAGGCCCGGGCAGGGCCCCCGGAGCCCCAAAATTGTGAAAAACCATCCGTCGTGATGTTCTCATGACCCGACGGGGTTTGGGCTCGCCATCCCTTGAGAGGAGCCCGAGCTGGAGGTCGGCGCCACGCGGTCCCTGCAGAGCGCGCTGGGGCGCCGAGGCCGCCCAAGCTTGCGGGGGATCCTGGGCGGTGCGCCGCGGCAGCTCGTCTTCCCGGCCCACGCCCGAGGGCTGAGCCCCAGGCCAGGCGGCGCTCACAGATACAGTGGAGACCCATGCCAAGAAGCACCCCGCTTGCCTCCAGAGTGCCCTGGGCTTCCTGGGCTTCGATGTTTTTGGCATGGAAAGCGCGACGTTCCCGCACCAAACATCGATGAACGTCCTGGTGTCTCCGGGCTGGGTTGCTTGTGGAAGGTTTCTTGTGGACCGGCCTCCACTGTAGAGGAACACAACATGCACAACCCCCTCGCGCAAAGGAAAAATCACGACGGGAGGGTTTTTCGCTACCTTTGTCTGCCTCTGGGGTCGTGAAAAAAATCACGGCGGGAGGTGTTCCGCCATTTTCGGCTTCTCAGGGCCCTTATCAGGCCTCGGGACCGTCAAGAAACTACGCGGGACGAAAAGCCGGTCCCCGGGAACAGGTCGGAATTTCTGTGGGTCGACGCCAAGAAAAATCATTACGTCCGGGGTCAGGGATACAGGAACACAACATGTCGGGGTAACAGAAAAGCGCGAGTTCGCCATAACCCTGGGTTTGCAAACATATTTCTTGACAGGCACGACTTGGATTTTGACGCTTCAGTTACCCGTTGGGTGTTTGCAGCGGGGCGTCGCGTCAAGTTTCAGATCGGGCTTCGTCATTTTACGATTGCATCGACAGGCCAACCCGAGTCCGCCAAAATCGAGTCTTGCGCCTGCCTGATAAAGCAGAAACGCATTTCAAAAATAACTCTTTCGAGGTCCGTGCAGATTTCCTGCTTCGTCACTGGATCCGCCCAGAGGCGCCTCCAGCGCCGCCGCTGGCGCGTTCCGCGCGCCACGGAAGATGGTCCAGCGCCAATCCAAGAAATCAGCGCGGTCATCCAAAAGTGTGTATTCATTTAATTTTTGCTTTTCGAACAAAGGGGGTGGGCATGAGAGGGGCGGCATGAGCACAACCCTGTGATCTGGCCATTGCAATTTGTTCAAACCGGGCGACATGTTCGCCTGTTTCTTGGTGGGGCCCTCGCGCGACTGATCGGGCTCGAGATTTGGCGCAGAAGGATGGGCCCTCTGGAGCTCCGGTATAGGTTTTCTAATATGCTGCAGTTTTTTTCGTGTCGTCGGATTTCAGGGAAGGCGGGTGGCTTCTCAGAAGGCTGCGGGGGCTCTCAGAGTGGGCCCCAGGCGTTCCCAAGGAGGCTGCTTTGAGGCTCAGGGTGCTCCTGAGTCGCCCCCCGCCTCATTGCAGCATCCCCCTCGGTCTTCTTTCAAGGCCGCTCGCGCATCCTCTTCCCTGAGATCCGGCGACGCAAAAAAAAAGCAACATAGTGAGAAATCACGCCTTGGGCCCCGGACCCCATGTTTCTGCGCCGTTGCTCCGAGTCAGATCGATTCGCAAGAGTCCTGGGTCTCGTGCTCATTCGAAAACGCTTATCCTGGCGAGGGACCCAGCCATATGCGAATGTCAGTACCGCAAGGCAGGTGGGACGAAGGAGGGGAAGCTTCTTATGGGACCACGGGACGTGTAATGGGTATGCTGGCATGGACGGGTGGAAGCATGTGGACACAGCCGCGAGGCCTTCGGTGGAGTTCCCGAGGGACATGCCACGAAAAGCGCGAGAGGTGTGCCGAAATGAGTCGGGGGAGACGCATGTGAACCCTGCCACTGTGGCCTTCGGTGGAGCTTTCAAATGGGGCCACAAAGCACTGTACTGGGTGGCGCGGACGCATGGGGTCACAGCCATTGGGGCTTTCGGTGGAGCTCCCTCTGGGGCCGCGAAGAGCTGTACAGAGTGGCGCGGACGCATCGTGCACAGCCGCTGGGGCCCTCGGTGGAGCTCCCCACGGGGCCACGACACGCTGTGTTGGGTGGCGCGGACGCATGTGTTCACAGCCACTGTGGCCTTCGGTGGAGCTCCCAAATGGAGCCACGAAGCGCTGTGCTGGGTGGCGCGCACTGGGGCTTTCGGTAAAGCTCCCTGTGGGACCGCGAAGCGCCGTACTGGGAGGCGCGGACGCATGGGGTCACATCCACTGGGGCCTTCGGTGGAGCTCCCCATGGGGCCACGAAACGCTGTACTGGGTGGCGCGGACGCATGTGGTAACGGCCACTGGGGCCTTCGGTGGAGCTTTCAAATTGGGCCACGAAGCGTTGTTCTGGGCGGCGCGGACGCATGGGGGCACAGCCACTGGGGCTTTCGGTGGAGCTCCCTCTGGGGCCACGAAGCGCTGTACAGAGTGGCGTGGACGAATGGGGTCTCAGCCACTGGGGCCTTCGGTGGAGCGCCCTGTGGGGCCACGAAGCGCTAGACTGGCGCGGACGCGTGTGTTCACAGCCGCTGGGGCCGTCGGTGGAGCTCCCCATGGGGCCACGAAACGCGGTGTTGGGTGGCGCGGACGCATGTGCTAACAGCCACTGGGGCCTTCGGTGGAGCTCCCTGTGGGACCACGAAGCGCTGTTCTGGGTGGCGCGGATGCAGGTAGTCACACCCACTGGGGCCTTCGGAGGAGCCGTGAAACGCTGTACAGAGTGGCGCGGACGCATGTGGTCACAGCCACAGTGGCCTTCGGTGGGTCCCCCTCTGGGGCCACGAAGCGGTGTACTGGGTTGCGCGGGCGCATGTGATCACAGCCACTGGCGCCTTCGGTGGAGCTCCGTATGGGGCCACGGACGCGTGCGGTCTCAGCCATTGGGGCCTTCGGTGGAGCTCCCCATGGGGCCACGAAGCGCTGTACAGAGAGGCGCGGACGCATGTTGTGGAGCCCCCTGTGGGGCCACGAAGCGCTGTGCGTGTGGTCACAGCCGCTGGGACCTTCGGTGGAGCTCCCCATGGGGCCACGAAGCGCCGTACTGGATGGCGCGGACGCATGGGGTCACAGCCACTGGGGCCTTCGGTGGAGCTCCCCATGGGGCCACGAAGCGCTGTACTGGGTGGCGCGGACGCATGGGGTCACAGCCACTGTGGCCTTCGGTGGAGCACCCAATTGGGGCCACTAATCGCTGTTCTGGGTGGTGCGGACGCGTGTGATCTCAGCCATGGGGGCCTTCGGTGGAACTCCCCATGGGACCACGAAGCGCTGTACAGAGTGGCGTGGACGCATGTGGTCTCAGCCACTGGGTCCTTCGGTGAAGCTCCCTGTGGGGCCACGAAGCGCTGTGCTGGGTGGCGCGGACGCGTGTGTTCACAGCCGCTAGGACCGTCGGTGGAGCTCCCCATGGGGCCACGAAGCGCCGTGCTGGGTGGCGCGGACGCATGGGGTCACATCCACTGGGGCCTTCGGTGGAGCTCCCCATGGGGCCACGAAGCGCTGTACTGGGTGGAGCGGACGCATGGGGTCACAGCCACTGGGGCCTTCGGTGGAGCACCCAATTGGGGCCACTAAGCGCTGTACTGGGTGGTGCGGACGCGTGTGATCTCAGCCATGGGGGCCTTCGGTGGAGCTCCCCATGGGGCCACGAAGCGCTGTACAGAGTGGCGTGGACGCATGTGGTCCCAGCCACTGGGGCCTTCGGTGGAGCTCCCCATGGGGCCACGAAACGTGTGAGGGGTGTGCCGGAATGGGGAGGATGGGGAGGAGGGGCAAGGAGGAGAAGGAACGTGGGGCGCTGTCTGTTCAAAACGAGGGCCCAACACCACAGGATGTTTGGGGCAGATCGCAACGCCAGGATCTCAGGGCTCGTGCGCGCCCTCCGCAGGCGCAGTGCGGCGGGGGCGGCGTGCCCCACGAAGACTCCAGGGCCGCCCGAGTTCCTGGACATCTGCGGAGCTTTGGGCCTCCCGGATGGGGTCCGAGCAGCCGGGGTCGGAAAGTATCGCGCCGCATCTCCGAAGCGCCGCCGATGCGTCTCAATGTGCGCCCAGACCCCCGACGTCGTGATTTTTTCATAGCGTCGACCCCCAGAGGTCTGGACCCCTTCCCCCTGAGGACTGGCCTTCCGTCCCGAGTCGTGTCCTGACGGCCCCGAGGCCCGCAAAGGGCCCCCCGGAGGCCGCAGATGGCGAAAAAAACACCTCCTGTCGGATTTTTTTGTTCTCGCCCCGCGAGGGGGGGTCTGTGCGGGGACGTCGCCGAGGACTCGGCGGTGCGGCGCGATGCTCCGACCCCGTCCGCTCGGAGGCCCGGCGGGGAGGCCTCCGCAGGAGCGCCGCCCGAGGGGAGGCCCGGCGCGGAGGCGCACGGCCAGCGCTGGCCCCGCGGGGCGCAGAGGCCGCCGCCGCAGGAGTGCAGTCGGGCACGGCCCTCTGCAGGGGGAAGATGCCAAACATAGCTTAGCAGAAATGGTCTGGGGATGATTCTGGTGGATGTGGGATCAGTGCTGACTTCTGTTGGCCACCTCTGTTGACCCCTACGGGAGGAAGATCCCAAGCACAGTTCAACAGAAGTAGTCTGGGGACGATGCTTGTGGATTTCGGGTCAATGCTGACTTTTTTGTTGACTACTTGTTCTAGAGGCTTGCGCCACATCCTCCGACCCCGATATGCACTGTGGTGCCTCCTGGGCTGCATTTCGCGAGGCTTGTCCGAATCATGACACGGCGCTCGACATCGTTCCTGTTGCTTCGCTGCTGTTATCGTACCTCTTGGTGCTCTTGTGTGGCCTTTTGGTGGCATCTTGGCCTGTCTGCAGGCCATATCCGGTCGCCTCGAGGCATCTGGGGCCAAGTTTTGGGGGCTTCCTGGGGGCTTCTTGGAGGCCTTTGAGGTTCTCTTGGGGGTCCCTCAGGGCCTCTTGGGGTGTTCTTGGGGCAGGCTGGGGGCGTCTTGGGGCCGAAAGCTCGAACAGGTGCCCTCTGGACTCCCTCTTAGAGCTGTCTGGGGGCCCTCTTGGGCTGTCTTAGAGGCGTCGTGGGCTGTTTTTGGACCCTCTTCGACCCCTCTTGGGGGCCCCTTCGGCCTTCTGGGGGCGATATTGAAGGTTCCTTTGCCCGTCTTGGACGTTGTGAAAGCCGAAAGGGCGAGTATGCGAAAAACGTTTTATTTCCTTTTCCCAGGGAATGGGACGATTTCTGTTTCTGGGGACCCTCTTTGGACG